GTAGAAGGATGGACGTGCTGGCCAGCACCACAGTGTTTTAAAAAACAGAGCAGTGCGTTTTTCCCCTAACATTGCAAGTATTGTTACTCTGCTCGGATTAACTTTCCTTAGTTCGCTTGGGATTGATCGGATGGTTTACCCCATATAATCGCGGAGATTATCTTCAGGAGATCTCTGAGCCCTTCCCCCAGGCTTTATTCAGTTTAGAAGAGGAAAAGCCATCCGGGTTTCTCAGACATTTAGTATCTTGCAGGCTTTTCAGGTACCTGAGTTTGTTTGGCCTTCACATTCCTTCAATTTGATTTAGATCATAAGCGCACTCACTGCTTCAAGCTGCCGTAACTTGGGCGTTGAAACGTAGAATGTGTAACTGAGTACTTTCCAGGGGCCTCAGAACGAAATTACTAAGGATTGAGTGAAAAGTCATTCAACTGGAAATGTTTCAGCTCTCTTTGTATTCCTTGATAGAACTGGAAGATTTTCTTTGACTGAATTGTGTTTTCCTTCCTTGCTGCAGAATTTGTGCGTTTCCCTGTAACATTGAAGAGTAGCTTGGCATGGGAAATTAAGGGTTTGGGAAGTGTCAGACATTTCTACTGCTTGAACGAGGTAAAGTCTCTGAAGCTGAAGATGCGTGTAACAACACTGCAAATGCAGTAAAGAAACAGCTTAGAGGCCCAAGGTGGTCTTGCTTGCTGGTTATTATTGCTCTAACAGGTCTTAAATCAGTCAGTCGTTTGAAATCTGTTCCTCCCCTCTGTTTCCCGTGGGTGCATGGGTGTGCACACTTCACGCGTGAGCAGCCACCTGGAAGACACAGGTACTTTTGCCTTCCATCTTTCCCGGGGCCATCCTTTGCTTCACTCTGAGCTGTGTGACTCCTAGCTCCTCTTCTCCAGCTCTTCCCTGCTCACCTGCTGCAGTGTGGCTTTCGCTGACCAGCCTCAAAGGACACAGCGTGGCTGGTGGCTGGCATGGAGGCTGGATTCCCTCCTATCTGTAATTTGCTTGGAAGCATAGCCCGAGGGAAACCTGCTGCCCTCCCCTACCACAGGTTTCAGGGTAATGACAGACACTTTCTGCTGAAAGGCTTGCAACCCCTCATTTGGTTCAACATCTTTATTTTATAGTGAGAGTCTGGGTTGGAATAGCTCTTTCAGGGCTGTGCAGCCAGGTCGCTGCAGTTTCTGGCTGCATCCTGTTCATTCAGGCAGGAGCCAACCACAGCTTGTTTTAGACACTGAGCCAGGATCTGGCCTGTTCCCTTCTCTGTGTATCAAATCTTCAGTTACTTGCTCCCTCTTTTTATTCACATAATTAAAACATGGCCTTGTTGAGCGTGTGTTAGGTGGTCATGCTTTTGCCAGTTACTGTGGATGTGGAGACTAAAGGACCTGCTACTGCACGGGCTGCTGGCTGTGAGCCGGGAAGCAGGTGACTTCAGTTTTCTTGTGGAGAGCGCTACACTCCGGCGGCAGATGTGGCTGCTTCCCTAGTTGTGCAGCCTCCTGCACTTCTGCCCTCCGTGTTGGCCCAGCCTTGTGACAAGCTCTTAACACCACCTTTTTTGGAGAAGGCTGCAGCACCCTGTCTTTGGTATGGCCCCAGCCAGGTGACAGTCTCACCATCCTTTCCCACGCAGTGGGCTGGGGTCTGTGGACAGAGCTGACCTCTCTCAGGCAGTCCAGGGCCTGCCTGTTGTGCTCACCCCCATGAGCACAGAGCTTCACTGTGACATCCAGTAGATTTTGCAAAATTAGCAGCTCTTCTTGTGTTGAATGACTGTGACAGAGTCTTACAAAGGTGGCTTTCTCTGCTTCTTCCTTTTCTCTGGGACCTACTGGTGCTCCAGGACCTACCCTTTCCTGATGCACCCAGATGCTCCCGTTGGAAGCCACATCAGAAGTGAAGGCCACACACATGGCGGTGCTCTGGCGTGCGTGTGCTCAGCGGTCAGGTGCGGCCGGCTTTCTTGTCAGTGTGCCCCAGCTCTGAAGCGCCTTGGATGTTGTGCCCTTCCTGTGATCTTCCAGTTCTCATTCCAGTGCTCATGCAGCAAAGTGTGCTCCAGCCTTCCTACCTTTAACAAAGTTGAGTCTGATTGTGTCGCTTCCCCTTAGAGTTCAGTTGATGTTTTGTTGATTGCCTGGTGACATACCTCATGTGCTTGTCCCCGCCTGTCATTCTTTTTTAGATCCCACGCTGTTTCTTCCCACCTCTGGAGCACTTATCCATACCTGAGTTTAGACTGTGTCATTGCTTCTTCCTTGTCTGTGTCCCCAAAACGAGCTCCCCGAGGGCAGGTGTCCCTGGTTGAACCTGGGGCAGCATCTTGCATGCTGTGAGCACTCCGACACACGTCGTAAGTGTGAGTTCTCATGCGTGAGGTCCTCAGTTGGCTGCCTGCTTTCTCAGCCACCAAGGAGTTTGTCGAAACTAATGGTGGTGACAAAACCAAGAATGTTCCTGAATCCAGTGGCCCTGTCTTGCTAGTCTTTGTTCAGCATCTCTTCTGTGTAGGACACCTTTGGCCATCCTTGAAGTTATTGTGCACCACACACACGTTTCCTGTGAACACGATCACAGAAAGCTCAGTGTCACGGCTGCGGTCCGCTAAGCGGCAACCGTCCCTGCTTGGAGTAAGTGCTCTGTCTCAGCCTAGCCATATTCCAGTTCCTGTCTTGTCTTCCGGACCAGCAGTTCTTCCCTGTGATTCCATTTCTGAGAGATGAGACAGCCATCCTTCCTGTCCAGAGATCCATGGATTTATCTCTGCTTCAAGTTGCATCATTTTAGACGGGAGAGATCTACAGAAGGGCATCTCTAAAGACCGTGGCAAGAACGTTTTACTATAAAACAGTATTTCTTAAATTGAAGTTTAAAAGTCCTTTCCTGGCCATTTGAGGTATCTTTAAGCCAGCATTTTAGTAATAATCAAAGTTCTGTAACGTTTAGATGGCCTGGTAAATGAGCATCACCACAGATTGTTACTGCCATTGTCATGCCTCTGTGGTGCCCCTTTAGCTGTCTCTAGGGAAGGAACAGCTCTGGATGTGTTACCGAAGCGAGTCGGGGTGACAGGAGGCCAAGCGAGCACTGGCTTTGTGGCAGGCATATTGGTAGAGGAGTGCTGGGGAGCTGAAGAAGGTACTGGGCCCTTGGGGGAGGCTGCACCCAGGGTCAGGGCACAAGGACTCCCCCATTACCGCTGCGGGGCGCATCTGGGTCATGCAGCCTTGTCATCTCTCCTGTTAATGTTGAGCTGTCTTTTAAAAATTGTTTTTAAATTAGGTTTTTACAATGTTTGACCTTATGGTTTTGTGAGGGCTAAAGCATAGGGAATGCATATCTAGTTTTGTGTTTGGGCATTTTAACTTTATAGTAGCATTAATAGGTCAATTAAATATAATAATTGGGGTAAGGGGGTGTTGTTGTTCTGTAGTGTTTACTGATCCACACATTTCTCAATTTAGGGAACCGGTTTTCGCTGCTCAGACACCCTCATGTCACTATAGCATGTAGTCCTTAATTGCTTTCTGATTGTTTTCTGTGTTGCTCCCCCAATACTGCTCACTCCCTGCAGTTAGAGGTGAAAAACCAGAGCTAAGAGAGCTTGTAATTTGCCCCAGGTTAATGGAGATTAGAGGCTCTTTGATTAAGAAGTGGTTAGTGAGTATCTCTGACATAATTATAATAGCCAACACTTAATTGAGATTTTACTGGGCTTCAAATATTGTATTAAGTGCTTTACATAAGTCATTTCTCTTAATAGCACATTTGAACCCTTATAATTTCAGTTTTTCACATGCAGAAGCTAAGGTTTAAGAAGCACACTTAGGAGGCTCATTGAGGAGACTGGCTGGAGGTGCTCTGGAGGAAGCACCTGGTGCAGTGCCTGAGCCTGCCGGAGGGAGGACTCAGAGGAGCCTTGCAGAGGGCAGAAGGGAGCTGAGGGAGGCGAAGGGGGCGGTCTGTCCAGACTGACTGGAGGGAGAGGAGAAGCCTGGTGTTTGCAGCAGGGAGACCAGGGTGCTGGGGGGCGTGGAGCGGTGCAGGGGCCTGCCGCTGGAGAGCGGGCCTTGCTGCTGTGCCAGGGAGCTGAGGGGCCCTGTAGGCAGGGGTGCCTCCTAGTGTGGTACGGCTAAGTCTTCAGCTTAGAAAAATAATTCTGGGAGAGAAGAGGCTGGCCTCGGAGGCCAGGCTGGCACCGTGGAGGGACTGTGAGCCGCTCTTGCCTTCCAGCTCTTTCTCAGCACCATGCTCCGTGTGGTACTGATCCATCCCAGGTGCAATCTGGACACCTATGTGACACCTTTTTTTGTGGATGTATTGTCCTTGACTTTGGGGTGTCTTTGCATTGAGCTAAAACATGAACAGCTTTATGTGTAGGCATTGGCTTCAGAAAAAAATTAGGTAGCCAAATGTTATGGGTAGGAGGAGCCTGTTTACTTTTGGTTTGATTTAGATAAATGTGGTCATTGGGTTTAGGAAAACGCACCCCAGTGACACTGGTAACCTTGTGGATTCTGGTTTTCTGAGGAATGTGGCTGTGTGTGCCGTGCCTTGAGCTTTGGTTTTATCACCCACTGTTCATGCTTCAGAAGACTCACGCTTGGGAAATGTTGATTATTCTAGAGTGCCTTGGAAGTAAACTCATGCTGGGTGGGTCTTTCAGAACAGTAACACTCTTCACCTAGTAAAACTTTCCTAGAATCGACAAGGACTGATTCATGCTTTCAGGGTGGAGAAAGAGCAAGAGGAGCCTCTGTGAGCTGTGAGCACGGCTTTCCGGGCTCCCCAGCAGAGCGAGGGCCTGGGCCGCCGCCACCGCCACCGCCACCGCCACCGCCTTCTCTCTCATCTCGTCCTGTCACCTTGGACGCCTGTGCCCTCAGTGCCTTTGCGATTTCCTTAAAATGGGCTTTGTACAAGGTCTGGCTCTGTTAGGGCTAGTATGTGGTTGCTGTCCCCACAAGAGCATCAGAAGTCCGGGTGCGCACTCTGGTTGTGGGGATGTTGGATCCGCCGCGTGGCTCTTACTGCGCTGCCCCAGAAGGAGGTCTTGCTTTGCTTCAGGTGAGGACGCGGCGCATGCTGCATGCTGCATGCTGCATGCTGCATGCTGCATGCTGCATGCTGCGGCTCCTCGCTGCTGCCCTCGGAGGTCAGGAAACCTTGCCTAATTTGGGCAGGGCTAGGGGAAGGCTTCCCAAGATAGTTCTGAAGGGTGATGAGGTCTGGGCAGGAGCGCGGTCAGCGCCCAGGAGGAGCTTGGGAGCATCCATTAGCTTCCCTCAGGTGCTATTTAGCCTGCAGGACTGGTAATTTACTATTGCATCTGGTATTTTAGAAGGCTAGTAGTGTGTCTTGAGTGATGTAAAATGCCTTAGACTCCTGGAAGTGGGCTGGGTTGTTTAATCTTTTGCCTTACCAATTTTTTGAATAGTTTACTTATCTAAGCTGTAGCTTCTGGATTCCAGAGAATTTGACTCATTTGGAAGACATTTGAATTTTCGTCTTCAAGAATGTTGGGGAATGTATTGTGGGGGTGGGAAGAGGTGCTACACCTAATGACAGGGTATTCTGGAAGGATGCCTCGATTGTGTGGCCCGACGGCGAGAACTCTGCCTCTGCCCCCACGGTCACCCTCCCCTGCCGCCCGCCCACTCCCCCTCTTGGGAGTAGACAGCTAGGGGGCCTGTCAGCTGCTTTGTGGTGGAAGCTGGAGCGCTTGTGTCAGAGGCGCAGTTGCGGGGCTGGAAAGTGGGCTCCTCGCCCCAGGCGTGCCATGGACCCGCTGGGCCTGCTGCGGAGGGTGCTGGGTGAGCACTTGGGCCCTGCCCCACGCTGCGCTGACCCTGAGGTGCGCTGTGGTTGCGTTTTGTCTGAGCATAGCAGTAGAATGTGCTGGATGCAGACCAGAGTTAAAAGAAAAGAAGACATTATCTTTATTTCCCTCAAAGTGATGTCAGCCATTAACAATTTTATTTTATTTTTATTTATTTATTTTTTAGCAGTTTTATTTTTTTAAAAATCATTTTTGATTGACAAGTAATTGTATAAATTTAGGCTATAGTGTGATGTTTTGAAGCGTGTTTATATTATAGAATGGTAAAATTAGTTTAATTATATCTGTCACTTCATATATACATCTTTTTAAAAATGATAATAACATTTAAAGTCTATTTATGTGTGTGTGTGTGTGTGTGTGTGTGGCCAGCTCAGCCCACCTGGGGGCGGGGCTGGCTGGCATGTTGTGGTGGGGGATTGAACCGCGGTCCCTGTGCTTTGCTAAAGCTTGTTCTATGTAGGTGCTTTAGACCACTGAGCCATCTCACCAGCCCCTAAAGTCTACTTTAAAAGAATATATATATATATATATATATATATTTATTTATTTTTTGTAGCTGACCCAGCCTGCCCAGGGGGCAGGGCTGGCACAGGATTGAACTGTGGTCCCTGAGGTGGCGTAAGCTTGCTAAGCAGGCGCTTTAGACCACTGAGCTACCTTGCTGGCCCTGAAAGAATATGTCCTTAAGAGATTTTTTCCTCTTCTTACACTGCCATATAGTTATGTTGTTATGTTTTGCCCTATACACACATTGTTGAAAGAGCGCTGCGACTGTAGAAATTGCTCTGCTTCTTACTCTTGTTCGGCAGGAAGTGTGTCTCAGACAACTTCATACTGGCTGTATCAGTACCAAGGCGAGAGCTGCGGTGTTCCATTGTGTTTCCCGCGTTTTGCGTACTCTGCTGTTTAAGTACTTCTCTACTGCTAGATTCCTTCTTTCCTTTGAGACAGGGTCTCGCTGTGTAGTTCAGGATGGCCTTGAACTCACTAGGTGGCCCAGGCTGGTCTCAGCTCGTGAAGGCCTTGCTGCCTCAGCCTGCCCAGTGTCGGGTTTTCAGGTGTGTGCCACCCACGGTGCCAGCAGCTGCTTCTGATTCTCTGTGCTGATGAACCACACTTGATTAAATGTCTGAGTATACATGAGTTTGTACAGATAATTAAAAAAAAATATAAGAAGCACACTCACTAGATGAAATGGTATGTGCTTTACACATTTATGTATATTTTGTGATAAAATATTTCTTAAACCCCATGGGCGGGAGGCCTAGAGACTGGAAACGGCGGGCCTCCATGAGAAGCTGAAGAGGTGAAGGCTGCAGCACAGGGCCGTGAAGGCGTGGGTTTCCGCGCTGCCTGACTCCTGCCTCAGGTCCTGGGTCCCTGCGGGGAGGGCTTGGCCACTTCTGCTCCCTTCGGCCTTGACTTCAGGTTTTGCTGAAGCCCAGGGCAAGCTCTGGGGTGCGCTCCTGCAGCTGACCGGGTATTTGCAACAGGTCTGTGCACTCTAGGGAATCTGGCTGGTCTTCAGGTCCTGCAGCCCTTAGTTGGGCGGGGAGCGTGGCCTCTGGATTCCTGTGTAGCTCACGGATACCTGTGGGTGTGGGGCCAGGAGTTGCTGAGGGCCCCTGGGGAAGGCTCTGGCCCCGGCGTTGCGGGGTGCGCTGGGCTCGCAGGGCCTCGTGCACACCCGTGTTGTCTCCAAGGCGATGATGCGGGGCCGTTTGGAGCGCAGACCTCCACTCGGGCTGTCTTGGCTCTGACTCAGGAATCGCAGGGCTGCGGGATGGGGGAGGTCCAGGGATACAAAGCTTGGGGAATTTGGGGTGATGGTGGCGGAGCAGACCTGTCCCTTGCTCTGGGCTCTTCCAGAGGCTCCTTGCAAGCCAGACAGAGTCTCTTATTTTATGAGAAAGTCTGCACAGTAGTTGGAAGATGGACTTGCTCGTGTGATACGGTGACCAGGGCGCGACCTCCACCATGCCTCTATTAGCTGTTGAAAGGAGACAGTGACAGGCCCTGACCAAGGACGCTGCATGGAGAGTAAGCTTGCTCCTATGCTACCGTGCTGAGGGCAGTGCCCGCGCCTGGAAAGTGCATGGGGCGGGCTGATAGGGTGTGTGGGCAGCGGCCGGCTCTGTGTGGGCAGCGGCCGGCTCTGTGTGGGCAGCGGCTGGTTCTGTGTGCAGTGGCCGGTTCTGTGTGGGCAGCGGCCGGTTCTGTGTCAGTGGCCGGCTCTGTGTGCAGGGCCGTGGTCTTTGCGCTCGGCTCTAGCTGTGCAGCTTGGTCGAGTGCTGTTCCTAGACACAGGCGCAGGAGCAGTTGCCCATGGCTGCTTCTCACCTACCATCTCGACCTCTGCCTGCCTCTTTCTAACTCGAGTCTCCTGTGTTAGAGGCAGTTAGTGGCGTCAGTTTACTGATCATGCCTCGTGCATCTCAGCCTTCTTTCAGTGGCCACATCTCCAGTGGCTCACTTGCCTCCGCTTTGGCTGGCTGACCCTGCCAGCAGCGCTCAAAGCAAATGTTCCTCCAGAACGGTTCTTGTACCCCTTTTATGGTCTCTGAGGACACCCACGTGTTTCTTGAGACTGCAGTGATCTTGGTCCCTGTCACAGCGAATTCCTGCGGGCTGCACACCTCTGCTTTGTGAGCAAATGTGTTTGAATGACATTCATAGAGAAGTGTTGGGCTCTCTGGGGGAGGCCACGTTGAAGTGGGTGTGGGTGGCTCCTGTGGGTGAGGGGTTAAAGGCTGCACCTGCAGCCCTGGGCCCCTCCCTTCTTTGGTGTGTGGTACAGGGCCGTGACATGAGGCCGCCTTCCTTGGTTCTTGACCTGGCCGAGTTCCTTTATTGGAGTGGTGGAGGGGGTGTGAGTAACGTCTGTGGTTCTTGGCTTCTCCTCTGCTCAGGTGCTAATTTTATGACTGGACGGCCTGCTGAGACCCAGGAGAGTAGCGCCCATGCTCCCTGAGGTTGCTTATGAGGTTGCAAAGAATCACAGTTCTAGGCCTAATCATTATAATCAAGGATTTGATAGTGAGGCGCATCTGTTCCAAACACGTACCCTCCTGTGGTCAGTTGTTGATTCCCAGAAGCAATTAAAGAAAAAAAGTCAGCACATTTTCTTTGGTTAACACACACTCGTATGCTCACACATACACTCGCACAGTGCGCTGCAATTCTTTATGTACCCTGACTTTTTTCTTCCTCTTTCAGTTATGTTTCCCAGCTTTTAAAGGCAAGGTGAAATGTCAGTTTGGCTGAGACTTTTTGTGTCCTTATTAAATGAACTCTTATCAATTCAAAAGTGGTTGTTTAAAATTTCCCTTTGGGGCTGGTGAGATGGCTCAGTGGTCTAAAGCACCTACTTAGAACAAGCTTAGCAAAGTACGGGGACCGCGGTTCAATCCCCCAGCACCACATGCCAGCCAGCCCCGCCCCCTGGTGGGCTGAGCTGGCCACACACACACACACACACACACACACACACACACAAAAATAAATAAAATTAAAAAAAAATTTCCCTTTGGATTGATTAGATACCTCAGAGACTATTCCAGGAAACACAGTTTGCTGACCGACTGTTATGAGTCAGTTGGGTGTGGTGGTACGTGCCTTTATCCCAAGCCTTTTGGTAGGCTGAGGCAGAAGGATCACAAGTTCAAGCCCAGCCCAGGCAATTGAGTTAGTGAGATCCTGTATGGGGAGGGGGTGGAAGCTGTGGCTCTGTGGATGTAGCTCAGAGTGCAGGTTATAGGTTCAAGCCCTAGGATGGTGGAGGGGGGATCTGGGGGCCAGAGAGAGACCTGAGGAGGTTTTGCAAAGCATGTGTTGGGATCAGAGCCTGAAGCTGTCTACATTTCTGCTGCAGAGCTGGCTTCTGTGAACGGATGTTGGTGTCAGGCTTCAGAGGCAGCTCGGTTCCGGCAGGGCGAAGGTGCCTGCTGGATCTGCATCCCGACAGCCCTCCCCGCTCCGTCCCTCCTCCACTCCACATACTCGTATTTGTGGAGTGTGGGCTGTGCTGCCTTGGTCTGGTAAGGGAGCTAGTGTTACCCTCCCAGGGACAGGTGAGCAGGTGCGCATTTCAGAGCGATGCGGCTGTGTAGCAGACAGGCCTGGGAGAGTGGCGGAGCATCGTGCCGATAGAGGTTGCTCTTGGAAGCTGAGGTGCCTCTCCGAGCAGGTGACATCTGTCCAGGTGAGTGAGGCGGCCACGAGTACA